TCTCTGCTCAGCCTGGGCCACGGATGGAGGCTGATGAGAATTTGGGACTCTGTGTGACATCCCTAAATCCCCCCATGGATCATGCAGCAAGCACACAGTTAGACCTCAGCCCAGGCATCAGGCACTGCAAAGCCACCAGGCACTCTCAGCACTTCACTTCTCAGCATCTGAGTAATTTTTGGAAGTGGTTTGAGGAACTCCCTTTAAAAATCTCATTTCCCAAACCCTTTGATCTGTGTCTTTTTAATTCCTTCTGAAACTCAAAGGGAAAAGCTTGAATATAGCCAGGCCAAGATCCCAGATTCCAGCGTGCTCCTCTCACTTGGCTACCACTGTAAGGGACATTACTCCAACACTGAGCCTATCAGATCCAGGCTCTTCCAGGAGAAGTTACATATTTGAACTTGCTACAGCAGCAGAAATCACACATCACACATTCTGTCTTGTAAAGAGCAAGAGCCGTTCAGTAACAAGGGGCAGGAAAGACGAGCTCAGGGTTTTACAGCTTGTCAGAAGAGGAGACTTGCCAAACTGCTGAGCGCCCAGGAGACCCTGCCAAGAGCAGCCCAATAAAGCAGAGAGCTAAAAATACAGCTGGGACTCCACTCCTTTAACAGCCTTAAAGCAAGCGTGGCTGCTTTCCTTCTCACTTGCACTCCCTGGAATGAGAACATTTCTGTTGCACGGATCTGTGGGTCACGGTGGCAAAAAGCAGCTCCTGTGTCACTGCTCGTCTGTGTCTGCGAGAGGACACACGGAGGGGGTGCGGGCTGGTCCCTGCCCTTTGGTCGCTCTCGGCCCACAGAACCTCTTTAGCAGCTGGTGATAACTGCCTTGGTTTGCCAATGCCCTCTAGTGGCTTTTGGAGAGAAGAGAAAGAGAAAGAGAAAGAGAAAGAGAAAGAGAAGAGAAGAGAAGAGAAGAGAAGAGAAGAGAAGAGAAGAGAAGAGAAGAGAAGAGAAGAGAAGAGAAGAGAAGAGAAGAGAAGAGAAGAGAAGAGAAGAGAAGAGAAGAGAAGAGAAGAGAAGAGAAGAGAAGAGAAGAGAAGAGAAGAGAAGAGAAGAGAAGAGAAGAGAAGAGAAGAGAAGAGAAGAGAAGAGAAGAGAAGAGAAGAGAAGAGAAGAGAAGAGAAGAGAAGAGAAGAGAAGAGAAGAGGAGAGGAAGAGGAAGAGAAGAGGAAGAGAAGAGGATGAGAAGAGGAAGAGAAGTTGGTAAGGGACTTACAACAATCATCTAGTCAACTGCCTGATCACTTCAGGGCTGACCAAAGTTCAAGCATGTTATTAAGGATGTTCAAGTGTTTCTTAAACCCTGTCAGGGTTGAGGCATCTACTACCTCAGACTAGGAGAACGGTTCCAGTGTTTGCCTACCTGCTCATTAAAAGATGCTTCCTAATGTCCAGTCTGCACTTCCCCTGGTGCAGCTCTGGGCCATTCCCACTTGTCCTGTCACTGGATCCCAGGGAGAGGAGCTCAGCACCTCACTCTCCACGTGCCCTCCTCAGAAAGCTGTACAGAGCAATGAGCTCACCCTTCAAGCCCAAAGTCTTCAGCTGCTCCTTGCAGGACATTCCTTCCAGACCTTTCACCAGCTCTGTTGCTCTCCTCTGGACACATTCAAGGACCTTACCAGCCTTTTTGAGTGGTGAAGCCCAGAACTGCACACAGCACCCACAAGAGGCTGCACCGTGCTGAATACAGGAGGATAACCACCTCTTTTGACCTGATGGTTCTGCTGCATTTGATGCACCCCAGGATGGGGTTTGCCCTCTTGGCTGCCAGGGCACACTGCTGACTCACACTGTGTCAGCCAGCACCCCCAAATCTCATCCTGAAGAGCAGCTCTCCAGCCACTCCTCTCCCAGCTTATACTTGTGCCTGGCTGTGTCACACATTGCTCTGCTCCCACTGACCTACAAGCACGGAGCTGGCCACCTTCACCACTGCTGTGGTTACACCTAAGGCATCCCTCAGTAAGAAAAACCCATCATTGTCTTTTTCTGCAGGGTGGGTTTGGTGCCAAAATGACAGTCCTGGAGAGCTTTTCTTGCTGCCCACAGCCCAGCCCCACGTTCAGGACACCATCATCATCTCATATTGTTGTCACAGGCTGTGGCATCTGTTGGAACCTCCTTCCCTGCTGACCAGGTCAGAGGCTGTAGCTAATGCTGAGCAAACACTGCAACAGATCACTGCTTGCAATCACTGATCCTTTATTATACTCAGCCAAACCTTGCTATTAATAGCCCAAAGAGGTGTAGAAGGGATGAGAGGAGGGTTAATGAGTTACTTCATTCTAGCTCTTCTCATCTTCATGCACCAGTTGATCCTTCTCTACAAATCCCCATTAGCCCTTATAGTCTGGAAAACAAATAAAAGGTGAATTCAGCAGAGAGCCAGAATAATGCATGTCTCCATCCCACCTAAGTGCTCTGAAGAAGGGCCTGTTACCAGCCAGGCAAGGGGGCTGCTCTAACAACCTGTTCCCATCCAAAAGCATTTCTGGACCACAGTAGCTTCCCTCTTCCTTGCAGCAATTTAAAATACCTTTCCCACCTCTTCTTTCCAGCAGGCCCCACAGTCAACAGCAGCATTCCCACAAAACCACCTCCTGTGCCTGGGAAACAGCTGCTCCAGACACTACTTCCAGGAGCAAGGAGCTCCTTGCTCATTCCCAGCGTAAGGCTGAGCGTGCACCCTGTGGCACTGCAGCACTTGTCCTTGCAGAGAAGCTTTATGTTTGCTGCATTTCTCAGTCACCAGGCAGCTAGTTCCTTCAGGGGGTTCCTGCAGTAAGGTTTTGTCTGAGTGAATGGTGATGGTCTCTTTTTGGACAAAAAGCCCAGATCCTGCCTGACTCAAACTTTGTCTGTGGTCCTCAGCAGAGCATTTCAGCTCCAAGGCAGAAGCTCCTTCCTTACAATTGTGTGACTACACCAAAAGCAGCACCTAAATCCTGATTTTAGACCTTCACAGGTGTCCCAGTTCAACTTCTAGTAGTTTAGTACATGAAAAACTCTAATTCTTCTGGCTCTCCCTTGCCTTCATGGGAGATGCATCAGTCTACTCACAGGCATGAAGCAACTTACGTTGGAGATCCAGTCCACGTAGGCTGAGACACGTGTGAAGACTGTTGGCTTCTTGTAGGTGTTACAGTGAGGAAGCAGAGCAAAGCTGGCAATCCCATGGACTTCCCAGCGACCGTCTCTGTAACAGTTGAGAGGACCCCCAGAGTCCCCCTGGAGCAGAGGAAGGAGAGGAACATATTAAGCCAAATTATCTGAGCAGCTGAGGAATGACTGGATAGGATTAAGGAGCACTAGTTAGTTAATCACTGGCCTGAACATGAAAATAAAAATTGGGGCCACTGTTTTTGCAGTGGGCTGACTGGTCCCTGGGAGCAGAGGCAGCCCAGCCCCTCACAAGATTTTGCAAAGATCAAACCCACTGTTTATCTCAGTCTACACACACACACAGAGCCCAGGAAGGGCTGAAACCTTAATTTACCACCTCTATTGCAAATACAGTGACTGCAAGCAAATGGTCCAGGGTAAGCTGCATCCCATACAATCCTTCCCAACAAGGCCCACCTTACACAGTAACTCTGTTAAAAAAACAGTGCACTCTCCAGATACAAGGAACCAAGTAGAAGTGAAATGCTGCTCCCCTTTTTCTTTGCAAACAAATATATTGAAAAGGTCTCAGCAAGTTAAGGTGGTGGAAAAGAAAACAACTCAAGTTAAAATATATGAGAAGACAAAGTCTCTTGCTTGGCCCAGAACCTGGTTTGTAACAAGGTTCTGCTGTAACTAAATCACACCAAAAAATACACTAAATATCTATAACCTATAATTATATTGTACCTATAACTGTACTCAGTATAATTGCATAGCCTGATTTATTTCAGTAAGTTTCTATCTATATTTACATAATCAAATATGTTACATATTTTCCACTATTTTTAAGGGCTCTGTGTGGTTGCCTTCACCAGCAGCCACCTCTGAAGTGAAGGGACTATAGGCAGAGGTAACAGGCAGGTGGGGAAATGGCAAAACCAGGTCTCAGCTGAAGGAACAGCAAGGTCAGATAGAAAGGAAAGAGAGAGAGCTTCAAAATCCTCTGCTAATAACAGATCTTACACTGCATCCGGCCCTCACACCATCTCCACCTGCACAGACCATAGTGGCTTTTGCTTGAGAGCCCCACCAGTCATTCTGGGAGCAGATCTCATGGTCGACCACTGGCAGCAGCACCTCTTGCAGTGTGTCCGTGGTGGTGCCACTGGCTAGCAGAGAAAGGATGAGGTTTTGGTCCATGAGCTCCAGTGGCTGAAGAAGGAAGCCCACACCCTGCCTCATGCACCCTTACCTGCACGGTGGTCCCTCAGAAACCAGGAGGGACCCTCAACACTCCTCCTTCCCCCTTACTTACCACTAACCAGTCCCCATCCAGTCATATAGCAGGGATAGTTATTGGGCAAAACTTCTCCTTTGGGTGGAAGTATTCCAGTCTCAACGAACCCATTGTCATAGGCAGAAAACTCAAGGTGCAGCAGGGCAATGTCATAGCTGCAATGGGATACAGGTAGAAGATGCTACTGAAAACCCTGAATTACCCATAAACCAGAGGTCCACCCTCACATTCTGTCACTTATACAGGTCTCTAGCCTTGGCATGGACAAGCACCTTTCCAGGAGCATTAATTAAGCCTTATTAATTAATATAAGATATATTCCTTATCACAGGAAACAGGAAAATAGGAGCAATTCAGGGAGAAGAGGCCATGGTACAGAATGACAAGGGGCTAATGCTCCCCAGAAATCTCCTTTGGAGGCATCCGACCTCACAGTGAATTTCAGTCAACTCTGGGTGGACAAGTGCTCCCCTGAGGGTGGATTTAAGACAGCCCCTCAGCATATCCTTGTTGGCTCCCCTTCATCAGGTGTAAACAGAGGTGTGACTGCTGGAAAGCCCCTGAATCTGCTGTGCATCCTGGACCTGTCTGTGAGGCCCATCTTCCCTCTGTCTTGGGTAAAATGGGACTGAGGTCATCCACACAAACACTGTGTCACGCTTCCAAGAGAGGAGGTCATTTGGGAAACCTTCATCCTCTTCCACTGCTTGCCACAGGTCCCATCTCACTGGAACGTGGACTGAATATGCACCTAAACTCTAGTGGGGCACGGTGCTAAGTACCTTCAAACCATCTGATGATACTCAAAATAATTACCCATGGCTGATCTCTTTGGGATTCCAGCCCTGATGAATGAAGATTCTATCCACACCAATAGAGTACTCAGCACCATCCACCTCTGAGAGATTGTGCTCACCCAGAACCACTCGATAGCTTGCTCCTGGGGGCCTGGAAGCGAATCACAGAATGTCTGATAAATGTAAATGAAATGTAAATGGAATGTAAAACCTCCCCACCGCCAGCTCGACAGTGTAATTCCTGCACCGCCGAGACCTTCCACCAATGTAATAATTTCTTAAGAACCTTCCACTGGAGGATTCTCAACGGAGTGTAGCTAAAGGGTTTTGTGAATTAGGCAAATGCTGCCTGCAGTTTGCTGGCGAAGCAAGTGAAGGTGCAGCATCAGCAAACGGTGCAGAACTTCAGAAGGCTCATTTTGCATCCCTGCATCGGCCTGAAACGGAGTGTGGAGGATCAGCTCGTTACATTTCACTGGAAGAACATCCACCAAAGGCATGAGTAATTGCAGAGGAGGGTTTGCTTCTCGGTGCCCTGCTGCATTGTTTATACACGTTAGACACGCTGCAGAGCAAATTGCACAACACAGCCCGTGAGCCTGGAAATGTCCCTTTTGTTCAACCTTTCCACCTCTCTGCTGGTTTCTCAAGCTGCCAACCCATGCAAAAGGCTCACGTGCACGCAGGCGCACCTCCTCTTATGCAAATCAGCAATCAGCTTGATTTCTGCTCCCAGGAAGTCACCTATTAACATGGAAAATCAAGGCTAAAGCAAACAGAGTGTTCCAGTTCCCTTGATGAAGTGTGCACCGAGATGTCCAGCTGTGCAAGGAATGGCCCCCGAGGGGAGCGCAGGGGGTGAGAAGGGTCTGGCTCCTGTCTGCAGTGAGAATGGGGAGCAGAACAAGGGTTTTAATGCTTTTTATCCTACTCACATGGTGAGGCAATGGGCTGCGGTCATGACCCATTGGCCTGTGAGAAGGGTTCCACCACAAATGTGACGGTAGTGCCCTGGGTAGGCAGCATAGCCAGTCTGAAGCGACACCTGGACCAAACAACAACATATTTTACACCCAAGCCCTGCTGTGCCTCTGCAGAAACGGTGCGTGTGGCTTTGGCAGTGGAAGTTGCCATTTTCTCACTGGTTTTTCGAGCCTAAGGCTTTTTTCAAGCTCAAGAGCTCAGCATTACCTGCCACTTCCAGCTGTGTGGTTTGGCCTCGTGGCCTCCAATTACTCGCTCCGTCAGCACATCCTCCTGAAGAGCATCCCTCAGGGGACTTCCAGAGATTGCCCCTAACCATGCCAAACAAGAGGAATGCAGATTGTCATGTGGGTTACTAAAAAGCATCATTCTCCATGGGTTGCCACCAGCGACCAGCTTGTGCTGCACCAGGCAGCCAGCTAAGCAAGTCTGAGGGACCCAGTGACTGAGACTTGCAGGTGGTGACACTGGGATTGCTCTCCATCCTTGAGGTTGTCTTTAAAGCCTCCATGGTTTAAAAATCCCATAAATGCTTCAGGATACAAAGCTCTTATATAAATTGACCTGTTTTCTGTATTCTGCAACTCCACCCTATCTGCCAGGGGGTTGGTTGTGCACCAGCCTCAATCCCTTTTCTTTCAGGGTGTAGGTTTCCCCTCCCCTCTTTCAGAGAACTACCAGATCTTTCTCATGGAGATCTTGTTCCTGCAATAGACAAAAACTCTTCCAGCCAGAATCATTGTGTCCACATCCTATTTTGTCCTAACACAGTAAATGCAGAGAAAAAGATGATAAATTCTAATTTGCACCACTTAGAATTTGAGAGATTGACCCTTTCCCAGCTCAAGTTCTTCAACTGCAACTTACCCAGGCAACTGAGAAGAACCAGAAACTGAAGCATCTTTAATGAAGTGGTAGCATTTTTAAAAAAAAAAAATTCTTTATATACTACACTATCTGATAAGAAGCTATGACTAAAATTATAATTAGTTCAATTTATCTGTACTCATAACTCATTAAACTGATCAAAAATGTTGTCTGTGTGGAAAAAAAGGGGGAGCAGCAAACAGTTCAAGGTAGAGCCCAAGGTTACTCAAACACCTCCACACTGCATAGTTCCCATGGGGCCAGGAAACAGGAAAAAAAAAACCCGATATATTTGGAGTGCTCTTAGATCAAATCAAAAACAAAACTCCAGGCTCACTTCAGAGCAGCAATTGTTGATGCACATGTTGTATTCCTTTGCAAGAAATTTATCTGTCAGTTCAGCTGTCTGCTATTCCAATAAGATCTTTGTCAGCTAGATGAAAAGAGCAATAGCAAACAGGGAGAAGCATGACCACTGAGGGTGGTGCCACCTTGGCTGGACATGCTGATCCTTTTTTTAGGATCCTTTTCTGCTTCTTCCTCCTCGGTGAATGTGTTTTCCTCTGCCTTCCCCAAAATGCTTTTGAATATCTCCAAAGATAGTGACCCACAACCTCCCTGGGCAACCTGTGGCAGTGTTTGGTCACCCCCAGAGCAGAAAAGGGCACAGGCCATGCCCTAGAGCAGGAGGCACAGATGCCATACTGCTGGTCCCTACTTGGCCTGTCATCCTTCTCTTCTGCCCACCATCATCAACTCAGCACTCACTGGTTTTACCTGTTAATCATTAAATAACCTCTTCTCCACTACTGTGGCAGTAAACATCAACTCAGAACCATCACCTCCAATTATCAGTTGCCTGAAGTGTTGCCCAAAGGCAGACCTGCAAAGCAGTTAAAGCCAACAACAGCAGCAGAGTGCTGTCCTAAAAGTCTTGTTCTGAGTATGGCACTGGCTGAATTTCCACAAACAAGATCAGACTCTCTTGAAGAGTGATTTTTCACAAAACAACTCCTTTTGAAACTGAACTAGGGTTATTCCCACCACGTTGTCCCCACAGCTCCTCCCTAACAGTGTGTCTGGAAATGCTCTGCTCTGCTTCCTGTAGGCAGGATGCCCCCTTGCCCCCACCATGCTGATTTGAAAGATTTATTTGGTCAGGTTTTAGGCTGAGAAATTTATTTTTTTGATTATTTAGTAAAAAGAAGAATACAACAGGTACCATGAGAGTGGTTTCATAGTAGGCAAAGAAAGGTTTCTCTTCATGTTAAATAATGAATGAAATTCATTCTTGTCTTTTTTTTTTTTTTTAAAGGTGAAATTAGATACTAAAAGCACAAAATAAACCAAACTGAAGCTACAAGAAACAGGCCCTGAAAAAGGCATCTCCTTCACTCTTCAGGGGTTGTTCCATGCCCACAGATGAGAGGGAGGTCTCCTCCACTAATGCTGCCCGAGGGCTGGCTGGCCATCCTTGCCAATCTGCCCACACTCCACCAAGACACATGAGGAACCAGCTGGCCAAACTGCTGAGGCTGGAGCTCGGTGGCAGCAGCCTCTTTGCTCTCCCACTTGTGCTCCTCCTGCCAGTCCCTGGTGGGGAGCTGGAACTGGACTTGCTGCCCTTCCCTATGCAGCGTGGCTACCAAGGCTACTTGGAGACACCGACGTCAAGCCAGTGATGCCACAGGACACTCAGAAGGTATGGGAGTGCTCTTCCAGCTCTCTGGGGTGGGGGACCTGAAGACCCACCTCACGTGCCTCCTCCCACCTTTGTGGCCACTCCAGGAGTCCTGGCAACAGCCAGCTCAGGTTTCCATCATGCAACAGGCCCACCAGTGATGTGCCAGGGAGCAAAGGCTTCTGGGAAATGCTGCAAACAGCCAATGGGCTTCCATGTGCAAATGAGCGTGGTGACACTGGCCACTGACATGGGCTCAGGGATCCTGAGGTTGCCAGCTGGCCAGTCCTTGACCTCTGCTTCCATGGCCCACGGATAGGTTCCCGAGAGCACGTCCCCCACCATAACCCTCCTAATGCCTTCTGAACCTTGACCAGTCCCAACCATATCTGGCCAGTGAAGGAAAGTCCCATGGACAACATCTACCCAGAAGTGCCACAGAAACAGAGACACAACAAAGAAACTCTCTGTAAAAAAACCCAAATAATTAGAAAATCTATGATTCTATAGAAAAAAGGTTTCCTGATGTTTAGAGGGAACCTTCTGTGTTCCAGTTTGTGCCCAAGTCCTCTGGCCCTGTCACTGGGCACCACTGATAAGAGCCAGTCTCTACCCTCTTTGCACCCTCCCTTCAGGTATTTATGCACATGGATGAGATCCTTCCTGACCCTCCATGCACATGGATGAGATCCTCCCTGAGCCTCCTCTTCTCCAGGCTGAACAGTCCCAGCTGTCCTAGCCCTTCCTCACAGGAGAGGTGTTCCAGTGCCTTCATCATCTTTGTGGCCCTTTGCTGGACTCTCTCCAGTATGTGCATGTCCATCTGGTGCTGGGGAGGCCAGAACTGGACCCAGTACTCCAAGTATGGTCTCTCCAGTGCTGAGTAGGGGGAATGATCACCTCCTTTGACCTTCTGGTCATGCTATGTCTAACGTAACCTAGGGCACTCTTTGCCTTCTCTGTGGCAAGGGCTCATGTTGCTGGCTCATGTTTGACTTGGTGTGGTCTCTCCAGTGCTGAGTAGGGGGGAATGATCACCTCCTTTGACCTGGTCATGCTGTGTCTAACATAACCCAGGGCACTGTTTGCCTTCTCTCTGGCAAGGGCCCATGTTGCTGGCTCATGTTTGACTTGGTGTCCACCAGGACCCTCAGGTCCTTTCTGCCAAGCTGCTCTCCAGCAGACTGGGACAGGCAGTAGGTAGGGGAGGCACCAGGTAATATTGCCAAGAGTTGCATCCCACCTTTGACAGTGGCCTGGATGTAGCACTTCAGAAGAAAACATAGAAGCCTTTGTACTGGTTAACTCTCTTCTATGTGGAGGTATGTTTTGTTTTCTCATATCTCCATTAACTGCAGCTCCCTAATCATTTTGTACTTGTGGAACATTATGACTCATATTTCTTTAATGGTTTAAGGCATCTATCTGGGAGCAGAGCAGATGCATAAAATCCTCAGCTGAAAACAAGAAATGGCTGTAGCTGGTGGAAACTCAGAGACTTACTTCCATAATGAGGGAAAACTCTCCTGGGACACACAGGCCAGCAACTTGTGGGAAGGAAAGCTCACCTTGAACTGGAATGGCAGCCAGGGACCAACTGTCAAAGTAAAAAAGGGAAAGTTGAGGAAATGAGCTGGAGAAGACAGCAAGGGTCATCCATGCAGGTATGCTAATGGACCCACATCCATGGATACAGTAGGACCAGGACCTATTCCATAGCATACCAACAGTCCTCTTTAGCAAATCTTTCTTATTTTACTGGAGACAATAAAAAGTTCAGTGTGACATTGCAGGGCTGACACCTTCTTTAAGTCACTGAACACTTCTCCTCCCTTACCTCATAGATCATTTTTAGCTTCCAGTTAGTTTTGGCTAAGAGGTCAGAAAGTGGCCTCCCAGCCAAACAGTCTCCTCACTCACTTTCACCACATTCATCATCCTTGTTAGGCCTGGCCAGCTCACTCATTTTCTGTTGCTAACTTATTTTCCCAAAGACTTTATGTGTTCTCTATGTACAATTTTGTTGAAGAACATTGTTGTTAGTTTATTCTCCTTCTGGACACCACACCATTTAGCCCAAGTGATTGTTTGTCCCTAACCTGTACTCTGCAGCAATGCACATGGTATTATACATGGTTTTGCAGCTGAATGGCTTTGATGTTGGGCTGTGTTGTGACACCCAAAGGAGAAATACATTACACTGGGGATGATGAATTACAGCTGTTTTCAGAATTCCTCCACTTCAGGCATTGTTTTGGCATAGAGCTCTTGAGGGACCGTCTGTGTTTTGCTCCAGGCTCCATGTATATGGTTTGTGGAAGAGGTGAACCTACAGGATACATGTGAATGCAGAGAGGGGAGTTTGAGCATTGGGACTGGGAAGCTGTTCCATGTACAAGCACTTAACAGGATGAAAAAATATTGAATTATGAATTAGAACTTTAACTGTAAGGGAAGGATATGAAAAAAACATGGAGGTTGGTGTTAATAGCAAGGAGAATGCTGACTTGGTTTTGGTGTCGCAGCATTACTATGGAGCTCCAATTGTGAAGCTTGAGATGCTGAAGAGAGCTGCCATACATCAACATCCCACCCACTGTGAAATCTCAGAGGCCCATAAAACCCTTCCATGGCTATGATACTTGTTCCAGAACACGAATGGTCCTGGAGCTGGAGTCCAGGAGTCTTCCTCTGTAAAGGATCATCTCAAGCCAAAGCCATCTCAGGATTTCTCACAAGTGTGGGCAAAATTCAATTTCTGTT